AAGAGTTGCTCCCTGAGATGAAGCGTCATGGTGTACAAAGGAGGATGGTTCTTCAGTTCTCCCAAGCACTCTACTCCAGCTTCACCCAGGGGGGTTGCTTCGCTTGAGCCATCAAGCATTTTTACAGCCTTATTATAGGGATCTAGATCTTCTATGCTTTTTTTTGGGGGGAGGGTAAATGCTTAAGTATTTACTTTCAGTTGTCCCCTCTGTATGCCTTAGAGGGGTTTTAGGATTTTTGTTTCTATATTTTTGATCATGTTTTCCACTCCCACTTGGGCATTTTGGATGCTGGTCAGCTTGAGGGTTTTCTAGGATGTCGGGAAACCTAGATGACCTTATTGGGTGCAATACTAGCTAAGTAAAAGCTAGAAACCTACACTGTCACTTTACTGAGATTCCTGAGTATACTTTTCATATTGCCTTAATGTAGCAGTAATGTGTTTATGCATTTGTTTCTTTGCACAGACATTTTGTCAGATAGTAAAACTCTACTTTTTTATGGCACATATTAGCATATAAGCCTTTATTCCAAGAGGTATTTATTTTTTCACTTGTAAAAAAATAATGTTTTCACATAAAGAACTCTGTTATATCCTAGAGGACTTCTGTCTTTTATATTCAGGATAATAAAGACTTTAAAGCAAACGTGGGTGTTTGTATCAAAGTTACTGTTATTTAAACCAGTTCAATAAGTCATTTTAAAAAGAGCATCGATAACATCATAGTTGATATCTAATTTGGTCCTATATGGAAAATTTGAAAATGTTTAAGATACTGACCCTAATCAAGGGGAACATTCATCCAGTTATTCATTCTATGTTTTTTGGTTATAGCATTAGAATGTGTATGAAAATAGGGCAATATATATATATAAACAGATGAAAAAGTAAAAATTGAGGAAAGGACTGGAAGGTATTAGAGAAGGAAGGGAATGGCAAATTAACAATTTGCCATTGTAAATTAACAATTTAAACCCAAGCGATGCTACTAGTTAGCTGCCTTGTCAGAACAGGTGAGTACCTGTCTAGGTTCTAGAGCAATAATGGTCTCAGAGTACAGAATCTTGGACTATATTCCCCTGGGCCATGGATCAGTACTGATCTGTGGTCTGTTAGGAACTGTGCCGCACAGCAGGAGGTGAGTGGTGGGCAAGCCAGCGAAGCTTCATCTGTATTTGCAAACACTCCCCAATGTGTTAGCATCATCTGTATTTGCAAGCACTCCCCGGTGTGTTAGCTAGCATCACCGCCTCAGCTCCACCTCAGATCATCAAGCATTAGATTCTCAGGAGCACTGGCCCCTGGTGCCAAAAAGACGGGGATTCGCTATTCTATAGGACAACTAGCCTTCTACTGCTAGGTCCTAACTGCTCTCTAAGTGTGACATCTCTGGACAATAGGAATTTTTCAGCTCTGTTATAATCTTTTAAGACCACCATCATATATATCTGTGGTCTGTTGTTGACCAAAACGTCATTATGTCACATGTGACTGTATCCCTATACAAGTTACCTCATTTGTTCATTCAACACATTATTGAGCACCTACTAAGTTATTGAATGTTGGAAATTTAACAATGATTATGACACGAATGATACAGGATGCCTGTGTCATGTACTTAGACTGTAACATACACTATTTTCTCTATATAGAGAAGTTAAATAACATTCAAAATCATAGAATATTAGCACTAGAGGAGATCTTAAATGTGTTAGATTTTAAATGCTAGCCAAGTGGATGGGTGAGTGGATAGATGGATGGATGATGGATAGATGGATGGATGGATGGATGGATAGATGGGTGGATGACAGGACAACAAATGAATAAGATAACATGTTCACCCCAATAGACCGTGGACTTCTCAAACTCAGTGACTAACATGAAAACCACTATCTTACTAGGTAGTATAATAGAACTATAAGGAAAATGGTATGGTGGCAAAGAAGATGATGTTAATTCTGCTTATGGAATGAGGATAAGGGTGCTTGACAATGGAGCTTTGAGCTGAGCGCTGATATTCTAGTTAGATTTTACCAGGTGGATAAAAAGTGTAAGGCACATGCAGGTCTCGAATGCAGTTTGGTGGGGCTGGACAATCCTCTGCTATCAAGAAAGTGGTAAGAAATTAGACTCACAGGCAATATGGTTAGAGTTATCATCATTGGGGACCTTGAATTCCAAGTTTAATTTGGACTTCGTTCTCCCCTGCCAAAGGAACTTTGGGGACAGGAGAGGCAATCAGATCTGGTTTTTGCTCAGAGAATTCCTACCACAGAGGAAAAGATATTTAAGAGCATGAAGAGAACAGAGACAGGAAACTCAATTTTGATCTGTTGACATGAAAAGTATGAAACATTTAAAAACTTCAGAAGTGTCTACGGCCATGCACCCTGAACAAGCCCGATCCCATCTGATCTCGGAAGCTAAGCAGGGTCGGGCCCGGTTAGTACTTGGATGGGAGACCACCTAGGAAGACCAGGTGCTATAGGCGTAAAAAATAAAAAATAAGGCATTGTAAGATGACAAAGTCCTTAACAATCTGTGAGGTCAACCAAGGGTTGCCTCGCCTAAAAAAAATAAAAACTTTAAAAGTACCATCAGTGATACATAGAAGTAATATAAAAATTCTGCTTCTAGGTTGAAACAGATAGTCCTTAGTAGAAAGACAAACAGATGGGAGCAAGTCATGGGAGTAGGAAGGAAATTGAGTTTGGTTTTGGCCATGATGCATTTCAGATACATGGTAACTGGCAAACCTGGCGTCAGTTGAAAACGTGTTGGAACCTCCAGAGGATGATAAAGGTAAAGAGAAGCATTTGGTAACTGTCATATTTAATTAGTATTTGAAGACACAACACTAAAGAAATCTATAGGAGAGCATTAAAGGGGGAAGAAAATAAAACTGAAGATGGAACCCTGAAATGACCTACATCTAAAGTGGACTGTGACACTATCAAGGAGTCTGAGAAAACAAAGGATTAAGAAAAATCAAGAGACTGAAAGCTAAGTCAGGAGACAACTTCAAATAGCCAGGTCAGCTATGTCAAAGACTACAGCAGAGTCAAGGAGTGTGAGTACCAAGAAAGGGCCATAAGGTGTGACAAGATTAGGAAGCCCTAGGTTCTAAGAAAGAGTGGGTGCATTATGAAAAGTGAAGGGGGTACTACAAAGATGCCAGGTTATAGTGAGCTGAGTACAAATGTGAGACAGGATGTGGCAGTGATCAGTGAGAGTCAATGTGTTTGTGGTGAGGTACAGTAAATCAAGATGGTATCATAAGAAGAGGCAGGGTCAAGAGAAGCATTTCGGTTTTGTATTTTCAGTGGGAGGGCATGGATGGGCATGGAGGAGAGAGCCATGGAGAAGGTGATTCAAAAGATATAGCAGAGAATATATGGAGAGTCTGAACCTTTGGAACTCTAGAGAGACTGAAGCCTCAAGAGGCTGTTCTGCCAAAAGGCACAATTTATGAGACTTGAACAAAAGCATTCTTTAATCTTTTTATTAAGTGTTACGAAAATTAGTGCGCAAGCTAGGAATGTTTTCCCCCATCCTACCCCGACCCAATGTGTCTACTCTATGTCCTGCCACAGATGGGAGCACCGATATAATGCTGGTGAATTCTGAGGTTGTCCTTTTAACCTCTGCCATTGAACACTGAGGATCAGAAGCCCCATGAGTGACTACTCATGGGTAAAATATGAACTCTTCCAAGGAAAACTAGAGAAAAAAATACCCCGTAGAACAGATGTTTGGACAAATTTCCAAACAGAAGCCTAGGGAAAGCATATACGAGTCACTGCGAGTATGCCTGAGGAAGGAGGGGTGCAAAGGATACTCTCATGGTCAACTAGGAAGGCCCGGTTTTTAATGTAGTTTTACCGAGCAATGGAAAAAGCAGCTTAGATGGAATTTGAGCACAGTCAAAATTTAAGACAAAATGCAACCATATTTGTCTTTCTCATTGCTCATCATATTTAGTGTCTTTTCACAGAAATCCTAAAACACTGCAAATTACTTTTATTCATATTTGCAGAGTCTCCTTGAAATTGTTTAAAAACTGTAAGGTATTAAAGAGTTAGCCCTATGCCTTTTAAAAACAAAACTATGTCAGGACCACACAAATTACACAGATTTAACACATCAGCCACTTGCTTGAAGAAAAAATTCACTTCAACAAAAGCTAAACATCTGCTATTCATAAAGCTTGAGCTGATGCTAAAAGAAAAACTCATAGGCATGAGTATCAACGAGCGATTCTGGTTGAGAAGGAAATTCCTATACAAATTTCTGAAACAAAAATATAAATAGTTCTAAGAAAAAAAATAATACATAAATGTATATACATATGTGTGTGCATATATAGACATCTATTACAAATAGATACAGATAATACATATATAATATATACATATATATGTGTTCTTGTAATTTTCCATTATAGACCCTGTTTATAAATATTTAGAGAATGTGAAGTCAGGAAATCACTGGATTGGGAGAATTAGGGAAGGCTTTCAGAAGTAGATAAGTTGTTCTTTGTCTTGAAGTAAGTACAGTTTGGATTGTCAGGAAGAAAACAGAGCATGAGAATGCAGAAGAACCCACAGATGAGAAGCAAAGTATACGAGTGAAAAGATAGAAAGTAGAGGCAGTTCATAGAGACTTGACTGCCTGCATAAAGGTTTTGAGTTTTATTTGATGAGTATGTAAAAGCTACAGTAAGGTCTTTCTTCATCTATCGATTCACCCACTTTTATTCATTAAGCTGGGCATTGATTTATTAACCAGCGGATATTTATTAAGCACTTAATATATATCAGGCTCTCTGTTAGGGCTGGAGCAGTGGTTCTCAACCAGTGACAATTTTCTACCCCAGGAGACATGGGGCAATGTCTGGAGACAGTTTTTACCTGTTTCACTGAGGGCAGGGTACTCCTGGCATTTAATGAGTAGAAGC